ACAGTCAAAAAGCTGTCAGTTCGCATCACAGTAATAGTGGAAGCGCTTTCAAGCAATATATAGAAAATAAATAGCCCGTTAAAGAAAAGCTAAGCTTTTGATATAAAAAAAAAATTCATTAACGAACCTAGTATATATACAACCGATGATGTTCAAGCGAGTGTTCTAACAGCGAGTACGTAATAATTATGTTGTTCTTTTGCATCTGGCCACAGACGTGTAGATGAACAGGATTGGTTGTCAGACAGTCATTGAGAAAAGACAGATGGCCTTTGATGGCTATCGATGTTGTTGAATACTTTAACTAGTTTGGCAAAGCAGCCATATCGTTCGCCTTGGCTGGTGCATGGCGTGCCCATGCATAGCGCGGCTAGATTATCGAAAAGTTCAAAGTTCCCAGTTTCGCTGCCGCGACACAGATACGCCGGTGTCAACATAACTTTGAAACCCCGATAGCACCCACGACTGAAGAAACGATCAGAGGAGTTCGTTGAGCCAGAGACAGACGCGAATATTGTACCTAACCTGCAGAGTTAGTTACAGACGAGCTGTCCATTTCATCCCACTGCAATTTATCCCATCAATAGTCATTTCGCTCGCCAGGTCGTTTACCCATACAAAGACGTACACTTCTTCTTTCTGTCCTTTTAAGTTACTAACTGCTGCATTTTTGCCGCCCTCAGGCGGCCGTTGATGTGTTTGTGTCATAGCAGCTTTCCAATAGACTAAGGAATGGAGCAAACGTTAAGATCAATTTCCTCTTCCTGGTATAGAGAGACGAAATTTTTTGTATCGGAATAAACCTATTTGTGACAGGGGACTACATGAGCAACGTCAGAAAGCGATGATTCCGACACGAATAATAACTCGTACGTTGATAGCTGGTGCTAGCTCAATGTATTCCTTAACTTGTTTTATAACTTGAACAGTTCAGAAACCAGCTCTTAACGCTCGGCAGAAATAGAACGTGAAAAAGTTAAAGCTTAATTAATTAGTTTTTGGGTCACGTGGACTGTTAATTTGTCACGCCTGCTTAGTAGGTAGGGTGTTCACTGTATGTGGAAGCTAAGCGCTGACCTGATTGCAATTTGTGCTGAGGCTCAAAGAGATGTTTCACAAAAAATATTTTTTTGCTTGAAATGCCACTTGATACGGTAGTGGCAGCAACCGTAACCGGTATCGATTCATACGCATGAAGAAACACCTTGATGTTAGTAATGGCGGCCGTAACTACTGCAACAAACATCATACACTGCACATCTGTCTGCCCAATAAGGACACAGGCACCGTGGGTCCGTATCTCTTTGATGCAATGGACCGGACAGCATATAACCAATGGAAAGAAAGATGACACAGAGTACCTTATATCAGATTTGACACTTCGCAATGTTAGCTTGCTTTTTGCGGGTTTCGACGGAGTACTGAAGTAAACTCAGTTGTGCCGTGGGGACCCCCTTGCATGATCCTCATATTAATATCTTATGATTCAGATCTGGAGTGACTCGGTATGTAGTGTATGGGCGCTGAGAGTCAACTGAAGGTTAAAAACCTTTTTTTTAGTATGTCACAAATGCAACGTTAGGACGAATGCTTCACTTTTCCAATCAAAATTTTATTAAGTGTCTCACTTTATTGGCTATAACATTATTTTTATGTTTTTCACACGACTCAAACTGCGGTTGCAGCTATATAACTATATAAAGGTTGCAGATCGATAAACGGGAAAAAAGAACAGAATATTGCCGATCAAAAAAAAAACAGGCACAGCATATGCATTTGCATGTCAAATTTCTAAAACTCTAGAAGAGATGATTTTACGAACTACTAAACGTAGCTTTTATTCAATATCATCAACAGCGACCCACAAACGCGACATCTAGCGTGGTATAATGAGAATGTTCGCCTCCTCTACGTAGCTGCGGATCGTTGATTTCATTGGTCAATGGAACTGGTTGACGTTGGGGCATGCGGAATAGTGGTGTCTGAAGAGAGAGTTGTTGCCGTTGTAATCTTTCTGCTATCGCAATAGGAGACTGCATCATCGAAGTACGAAGAGAAACTAACTAACGAAAGAGAATCTCTTTGTCAACACAGACCACGCCCAGAGTTGATATAGCGTCAAAAGAGACGGTCTGCTTCCTTACGATTTCAAAAGAAACACAAATATTGCTCAACTAAAAACAGCATACAAACCTAGTGACACCTGATTCTCGATAAGCACGATATAGGCAGATGGTTCCGACTATGCTTGGGCGAAGCTTCCAGACAGTTTTTCCTAAGGCTGTTGGTAAAAAGTACCATAGAACAAGTTCTTTTCGAATCGCTTGCTATATAGGCAAAGATCAGTGTTCGCTGGATCCAGGCCTGAGCAACTGGTAGCGCATATACTGGATCAAGCAACAGTTGCCCCTTTTCTTCAATTGGAAAAAAAACCTCACCTAGCTGAGAAGTTGGTGAAAGATGATGAGATCTACAGAATTCAGCCATTCTCGATCCTACTTCAAACACGTGCTCCTCGTAATAAACGTAACTTAAGTCGATGATTAACATTACGCTGAAAGCTAATACTGTATATATTGCAACGCCATGATGAAGAAATAAACATGGCAGGGTCTTCTATATAGTCTCGATACGATTTGATCGATATATTTGGTTAAACTCAGCCTTCAAGATTAAAGACTAAAAGGGCTATGCTGAATTTTAGTCGGCAGAGCATCCGCAGACCACTAAATCTAGATCGGCCAAATTCTACAGCATTTCCTTCTTGTTTCTTGTACTTTGTCGCTCTAGGCTAACAGAAATAAGTTTTACAATTGCGAAAATAATCGATATAATATAAAAGAGATACGTTTAACTTAATCATCATAGACATCTCTGAGATATCAGTTCTCAAAATATCAGCACAATTTATACAAAGGTTATTCGCGTGTATATCGTTTTCTTTTAAAATTTACGGTAGAACTATTCAAAATTAAATAGAGGGCTACGTCGTTTCTAATTTTAGAAATTACTCTATAGTACAAGCAAAATATTTCTATGACATTCTCTTTAAACAGTAATTTATCTAAGAACGCCAGCATCGGATTGTGGTCTCGTATGCAGTGACTCAATCGCAGGTAAAATTATAGCTAATCCGAACAAGATCAACACGTTAGTTTAGTCTTCACCAAAGAAGGCGGACAATGCAGAAGGGTCTTATTATACTCGTTGTTTATTTTTTTTTTAGAACTACTTTAGTGCACGATTCTTTAATTGTCTCACGTTTATTTTTTTAAACAGTTTGTTTGTAAATTGATTAATTATTTCGACTTCTTGAAGTGATACCATGCAGCTGCCTCAGGCGTCTTGGCTTTAAACATGAGAAGTTAATATTTGCCTCAGGCAAAACGCGTTTTGACAAAGGTACTTGAAATGGAATCCAATACGCTGCTTTTCGTTTAGGCAGCTTTTGAAAAGATGAATGGCATGCAACAAAATAGCGTCCTCTGTTCCGTGCGTCAATCTACCAAAGCCTTCCGATCTATGACAAGAAAATGTGTATTTTTTAGGCCATAGCTTAATAAGTCTTCTAGTGTTTTTGAAACAGAACTTAGCCGCGTACCATTTTTTTCTAAAAGAATGCAAAACGGCTCATTACAACGGATCTACCTTAGAAAATTTATTTACGCAGGTAGAACATAAGTCAAGCCGGCAAGTTGGAAAGGGATCGTCCTAATCAGGATAATACCTGTACTTAACAATACAGATTGGCATAAGATAGTAAACAGCAATTAAATTGAGATATGGTAAACAAATAAACGCCGACAAAGATTATGGGAGTCATGCTTGATAGGTAGATGAAGTTCACATTATGAACGCTCCCTTCATCTTGGTTCTCAGTGCAGATAGATGTAGTGTTGACAGCCAAATATTGAATAGTTATATTCGAAATGGTTAATTTAAGCGCGTTTACATAATTAGACCAGATAATCTGAGAATTGCTTGTTCACTTTACCCATCCGAGATAACAATTACCGATATTGCAAATCATTCTTTTATTTGGTCCGTGGCCCTCCATCTGCTCGAATAAAATCCCCCAGTTGGGCTAATGTTACCAATTTGGGTGTTCAATACGCTTTTAGATTGAAACAGAAACCGTAATTAGCGTATATATCGATACTCTTAGATCGTAAATGCAACAACCAGGCGATCTCTACGTTGATCATGTCGGGCTTTTCCTCAAATAGGAAAACGTTTATGAAATGAGTAATGAGACTCTTTCTTTATCCCTAGCAAGGTAGCTGACTTCAGTTACGTGCTATGCCTACAAGTCATTTTCAGATACGCCTTTTTCTCTCTCGCCACAGTGAACGAACAGGCCTTTATCGTGAGTTCCAAAGTGGTGGCGGCGGCGGTGGCCTGATGATAACTGATTCGGTTTTAATCAACGACCATGAAAAAAATAGTCACATATTTCTGAAAACGATCCAAACTTGAAGTGCAAGCTAGTTAGCTCTTGGTGATCATTCAAGCCGCCCTGATCTGGTAGCTTTATTTGTCTTCGGAGAAGAAAAACGTTATAGATGTTTGGACCGTTTTATGCAAAGATTTCTTTGTAGCCGCCTTTGCCGTTCTAAATAGGCATCGCCTTGAAGGAACTCTTTGAAGCTTTGGCTAACGACAACAATATAGTATGCATGCAACGTAGCTTCTTTCTAAAGGAAACTTTTGATGAGGATAAGAAATTCCTATTGATCTACTGCAAAGCAGCGCGACTCTGCGAGCTTCCACCAAAAAGAAAAAAAATCCTAGATGACGAAAACAACAACATTGAACCTTATATAAAGAGAACAGGGTGATTCTGTTTGTGCTGACAAGTCGTAGCTAATCGACCACTGATTTTCTGTAATGATGTAATATTAGTTGACCATAAGCAATATTTTTCTGTAATCATCTATTTTGTTTATTATTGCATAATGTAGACTTTGAGTGTTTTCTTTGTTGTTGCTTGTTGATTGCAGTCATTCGTCAATCGTCATTGCGAAGTAAAGGCTTACGAAGTTCTATCGTAGCGATGGTGAACTTAGGATCACGTTTCTACATAAATAGGTGAAACAAACTCTAAGCGTGACTGGCACCGGAGGTACATAAACTAATAATTTTTCATAATGGTTCAGTCGTCACGAAAATAATTTTCGACAGGTACGCCTAGTTTTTCTTGAATCTTCCTTGATTTCTTAAGTTTAAGCGTCACTAAATGATAGTTCCGGAATAAAGCACAGCTTAAAGTAAGACTTCGAATGGCTATAATGGTCATTATATTTCTTCTTCTTCGATCCAAGTCAAATTTAATGAGTCAAAAAAAAAGCCATACGTTCCTTGTTGGCTATTCGACTGCATGTAATTAACCTGTTCTTGGGAAATTAGTATTTCAATAGCTAAAGCAGGTGTCTAGCAGCTAGAACTATCGAGTGCGTCCATTACTATTCGTAAAATATTAAAGAACGATGCACGATCGATTGTAGCGTACGACACGTTACTATATATTTGGTACCATCGTACTGCGATGACGATAAATCTTACTTTGCGTGGAGCCATAGTAAATATACACACGGGGTAAGAGGAGGAAAGGGTAGGAGAGAATATTTTACATCCCCTGTACATCGAGCGTTAAAAGAGTTATCTATTGTGTACAGATTATCTGAATGTTGTTATTGTTGTCATCTGTAATGCTCAAGATGCCATTGGATATTCGAATAGTGGTCGACTCACGGTTAGCATGTAGCCGCTCTTCGAACCCGCAGTACGGTCGTCTAGGCGACGGCCCATGTTCTTTTCTTCGAGGCACCGAAACCGCTTTCGTTTTTCCCGACGTTTCACCATGAACTTTTCTTCCCCTTGCCCCTTTGAGGGTTTTATTTGAACTTCTGCGGTTAGCGATAAATGCCTAACCATCCTAAAGGATCGAGTGGGGCATAGCAAATTTAACTGCTATCTGTATTACTAATTTGTTCTGCTGCCGTCTATTTAATGTGTCGAATTATCAAAGAAAGTTACACAATACATCTTACAGTATTTGAATATGGTACATCAGTTTTGCTTGTGCGCCAAATTATGAACTAAAGTAGCTGGTTTGTTCCGTTCTAGATATAAATTAGATTTATTTCCAATTGATAAGCCAACAATCCGAAAGGTTCGGATTTTATAATCGCGTCGACTGCTCTTTCTTGCCACCGATTGTTTTCGGCTTTGATTTCTGATTTTGTACATTTAGCATTTTACAATTGCCGCTTGATCGCGTTGGTTGTGGTCATTCAGTATTTGCGTGTGCAATGCATGATTATACGCCGGTGAGCAAAGCTTCTGTTACTGCAAGAATACGAGTGAGGTGCTGCTCGCGGGAACGCCAGTGATCTACAAGGCTGTTTGCCCAAGGTGCATCGATCTACCTGTTTATGCGTAGCGTTATGTAGACATGTTGTTTCAACCTAAAGAGCATTGATCGTTAATGGTCAAACTAATTTGTACTAAGCTACATTGTAAAAAAAAAAAAAGAAAACTATCTGAAACCATCTGTCCGATACACTGCTTCTTAGATTTAAAATATAATTGTGTTTCGTCGGCCCTTTATAAAAATAAATAATTCATCCCCTTAGCTTTTAGACGCGAACTCAATGACTTGGGACTGACACGCGAACGAGTCCGCATTCCGAGACCTGTGAGCAGTGCTTGTCCTAAAAAATTCTACCCGTGAAGCCATCGTTTAAGCGGAACTCGTTGTTTATATATGCACATAATCCCGCCTCGCACAACTTGTATCGGTTCTTTTTGAGAACTCTATTTATTTTATGTGGACTCATGAACATCAGAGTGGCATTGCACTATTGTTGACAGAGCAACCATAGTAATGTCCCATCCAGCTAAACCCTTCTTCCTACTTTTCTAATCTAATCTCACAAATGAGATAGTTGTGACAGTTACGAAAAGTATATTTCTAGCGGGTTCTAGGGCCATGCAAACTTGCCTTTATGGCGCCAATCAATTTAGACATTTACATTTGCATTTGTTTTGCAGTAACATTATTAGAGACGTAAGCTAGAGAGCTTCAAATAGAACCTGAACTAGCTTGCTTACTTGCTAAAGTGCTTAAGAGACAACTGATTGTTCCATTGAAATTATGCAGGGTGTTCTGTGAACAATATCTAAAGAATCTCCTATTACTAAGTTTCATTGTGTACTATTTTTCTTTCTGTTTTCTCAAACTTTCTTTCACAGACCTAAAGCAACCTCGAATCGACCAGGTCACAGTGCTTCCCTTTTACTTTACTAATAATGAGCAAAGGGCCCGTACAAGGAGCAAAATGTATGCTCATTGTGATATTTAACATTATAGAGTTTACCTGCAATAAATCCATAGCATTGTTATGTTGTATAAGTTTAATATGTAACAGTTAAGTTTTACGTACAATATTCGTGGGCTGAAATTCGTGTGAGGTGCTCATTTAATCGACGTTTCCTAACGACGCTGCTTGATCAAGTTAATCAGGTCCAATCTATTTGAAATATGAATTTGAACTATGGCAGCGAATGGTATGACCTACAATACGCTAAAGTTCTATGCAGGTATGTTGTACCCACAATCTTTCCGCGGTATCAGCTGACTAATAAATACTGTTAAAATATCCAGAGAACGTATCGCAAAAAAGGCGTTTTTCCTTACGTCCTGGAGGCACTGGGTCTATTTTATCTGCTCACAGTAGCTATCTGGGACTGTTAAAATCACGAATGGTATGCTAGAGATAGATATGTAGACTTGCGTTTATACTGGCCGGGAGCCCACTTGTTAACGGAGTGCTACAGTGGTTACTGCTCATATATTCCGTCATAGAAGAAAATGCGTAATAGGTAAGAAATAATAATAATAGCAATCATAGAACAACAATAATGAACGTAATTCCTCGAACGATCGCATACAACCCATGGCTAGTATGGATTTTTTCCTCCCAAACGAATATACCCAACCGTGATGATGACAAATCATTCGTACCGTTATCATGCTCCACGAAACACTGCTGGTGGACCTCACGATGAGTTCCTACAGACACTATCATTGCAAATGAAATATGGATGTCATCAAGATCAGCTCATGAAATCACGACTGAACTGTACGCAAAGACAGTTAACTTATCTTTGAGCTTTTTAGGCGAACTTGCGGTGTCCATGCTACACGATCCCCGTTTGACATTCACATTCATTTATCGAATTTGCTCGAAATTTTGTTGTTATAAGCTACCTTTATGGACTATTGTACATTTGTTTTTGTCGGTGCTATGAAATTGTACGGCTTTTGCAACCTGCCTATCAGAAAGAGTGGAGGGGTTAGTTAGTTTAACACATGATGAAATGTTAACTCGATTAGTGTCTAGCCAGTGGTTGGTATGGCGAAGTCAGAGGCCTACTTGAACAGCCATAACAAAAATAAGCCGCTTTTTCTACGCAATGAAGCTCGGCACAAACCTTTGTTGTTTCCGTTCATTAAATGTAAAGCCTTTTGTTTCAGTCAGGTGGGGTGGTCTAGTAGACAGTGCATGTGACATTGGGAAATCGGAATTTCAATACAGATTTGCTTTACATCTAAATGCTGATAAAAAAAAAGTGCTGTTCCTTCGTTTTTAAGTTGGCAAGCTTTAAACTGATTCTGTCACATGTATTTCCGATAGGGGTTGTTAATTTGAAGCTTTACAAAGTGTTAGATTTGCCAAATCCTAGGGAGATTTTCAAATACTCAGCAGTGAATAGCTCCGTTTATCAAAGTCATGCTGTCCTTTAACTAGTTGGATACCTTGAGAAACATTGCAACAACAACAACAACAACAACAACAAATGTGGCTTCAAAGAACTTCGCAACAAAGTATGTGTATTGTTACATGATCATTTCAACTTTAGCAGCCATGCAACTCTTTTAAGCCTAAACAGTATATGCTTATTCCTAATTGGAATTAGCCATATAATACGAGTTTAATAGATGAATATGGTATACGCAAGTAAGGTGTAATTGTCCATTGAACAGCTCGTTATCGATCAGCGTAGAAGAAGGCTCAACTCGCCAGAAAAAAGCTCAAATTTGTTTGGGCCTCGAGTTTTTTTACTAGCTCTGCGATATATTGCATGCTTGCATCCAGACGTGGATATCGTAACTAATGTACGTTGACCTCTTCCCGTTACAGACGACCGTCCTCCCAGGTTGCTGACATAAATAGCCACCTATTTGGTAGCTTTCCGTATCATTTACGTTTTCGTTCAGCCTGAGCCATTCGTTCATTGGTGAGTTGCGCTCTCCGGCTCTTTGTTTCCGGGTGATCTCCGCCGTAGCCCCAGTGGTATCACCCGGCGGAGGCAATCGTTCGCGCATCGCAGAATGCGCATGGATATGGACGAATTGTGGAACCTTACCTCGAGCGAACTTCTAGGAGATCTGCCATTCCTGGGCCAGTTATTGAGTGCAACCGGGAATGGCAGTGATACAATTCTGCCAGCAGACAACATTTCATTTACGCTCAACGATGAAGGTAATACCGAGAGTCCTGAAAGTGATAAATTATCTAATTTAATAAGGAGATAAAGTTCGCAGAAGAAAGCACTATTTCAATATGATCATGGGGCACGGACATAGCACTTTATGACGTGACACGAAAGACGTTATCCGGAAAATACGTGGGGGGGGGGGTAGGGACAGACATACCAATTACGCTAAAAAAACTGAGGACATATATTTATAGGAACTTTTGTCTGCAAAGTATCCTTTATTCGCATAGATTCATAAAATCGCAATTCGAGCGGTAGTTCTTCACAGTCACCTTTATTTTGAGCCAATACGCTGGTATGTGACTTTTGCATTTCAAATTCACGTTGGGAAAACAATTGATTTGCCGTACTCTTCCATCTCTCAAAAGATTTGCTATTGAGTTACTATTTCAGAAACTTATATTTAGAGCTGCAAAATTAAAAATTCTTTGCCTTCACATTATTCTACTCAGAAATCCACTCGGATCTTCCTATTGCATTAGGCCCTAAAACTAAATAGAGCAATGCATAAAATTTAGTACATGAAGTCACTCTCAAATTCGTCAATTAGTCATGATATACGTGGGCATAATACTTAAATTGTTGAGTTTCTAAGTTATATGATCAGAATAGTCATGGATTTGATAGGAACCGTCTGCAGTGTTTGGCTAGGATACGTATTAAGCCTAGAAGACTAACTGCTTTTATAAAATACAAACGCGGTATTGTCTTCTAAAACCATTAAAAGTACCGTTCTGAAACCATCAGCGACTCACTCGAAGATGTTCTATGGTAGAACTCATTTGAGCATTCCTGGTTCGCGTAATAAGGATCTGATACGGTAACAAAAAGAACTTTGAGAATTAGAATTAAAATTTATATCTCTTACACGTTTTAAGAAATAATGCTCCTCAAACTGCATTAAGTTCTTAGAGGAGAACTTGCAGTGGAGATTCATATAAAATAGCATTAATTTAAAAAAAAAAACCGCTGAAACCTTGCCAATATTATTTTGGATAAGCTTTCAGTAGACGATTGTAGGAATTTATTCGGGAAAAACAGAAATTAAGAAAAACTAATAATAAACGCGGGCTCTATCAGTGGCAAGTCATACTTACATTAGAAGAAATATAATAATTGAAAAGGTCGACTCATCAATTAATAGTTAGAATGTAGTGGTATTTAAATAAGGGTGAGTATTTAACGACGTGGAATTAACATAAGATAGTAAGTAACAATTTTTCATCGATGTGCTGTCATTCCAGAGGAGTTAAGTTATATCCCACTGGGAAAGCATCTTGAGACGTACCTGGCGCCGCCTGTATTCACTCTAATCTTCGGCGTCGGACTCATCGGTAACGGAACCTTGATGCTGATCTTTCTCCGGAACAAAGCTATGCGAAGCGTACCAAACATCTATATCATGTCGCTATCCCTAGGAGATCTTTTCGTTATAACTGGTAAGCACCCCCCGAATAGTTAGCTGCGTCGAATAACTGCCCTGTCTACCTCCGTTTGTTGGCTAGTTCAGATTTGTTTGTTTTTAGTATGGAACTTGACGATTTCAGGGAAATAACATTCGTGTATTGCCTAAATGGTTTTACCATATAATTCATTTGTTACTGAATGCTTGTGAATTTGGCCCAGGGGCACCTGGACGAAATTTATGCCGTTTCTGTGCTAGCAGTGCCCATCAGAAGCTGTTAGTCGCTCTTACTTTACTTTTTTGTCATGTATTTTTGGTAAGGTGGATCGACCAGTATGTGGAATTATTAATTTTCTACAGCGCCATTACTTATTAGCTTCAAATTGTTCGAGATATATCTATCAGAAGTTATGTGCCATTTTTTCTATACTACTTGCAGTATTATAAGCGTTACGTACGTCCGGTATCATCGTTAGACATTCCATCGGACAGCTGGTTCACAGTACGATATGAACTCTGTCTACGTGTGGGTTCGAACCTGGACCACAAAAGGTTGAGCTAGGATACTGCATCGCCTGTACTAGTTGTACCTTACGCTTCCATTTTTTAAATTAGCTATCATCTATCGATACGTGTTTCACGTTAGGAATGTTTACAAGATTTCTTTCGAATAACTTCGTTTCAATGACCAGTTCAAAAACGTGTATAGATTCAACTGAGCGTATTTCAAACGATGACAGTTTAATTGTCGAGCCAAAGATGTCGATGGCTATTGATTACTAGGAACTATTTCTATTCGACTTAATCGTTTTGATAAAGCCGAAATGTTGAGATAATGCATAACATATTTTCTAGCATCCATAGTACTAAATCACAGTTGTACGAGCAAGTAGTTCGAGAACGATGTTTGTTACAAGCCAAAATCTTGACCTGACGCGAACGTGTAAACGCTTAAAAGAACAGAGCAGACTTTATGGAACATATCCTAGAAAAACCGAGTACCACTCATGCTGTGTCTGATTGGCTCATATTGCTTTAGGAGCGGGCGGCGGAGGGTAGCGACACACGGTAAGCGCGATTATCACTACAACGCCGTTCGGTCACTTTTTCTGTCTGCTACAATATAAACACATGCTCTTTAGGTAACCATTGTGATTTAGCCGGTCTAGTTTTTTGCCCTCTTTTATTTTTCAACGAGGCTAGGCGATGTCGCCTACCGGGTAACACCGGCTCATCAGATTAAATTCTCGTTTCGTGTCACCATTTCACGACGATTAATCTACTAAAAATCTGGGACGAAGATAGTTTCAACTCTTTTTTTTTTTGCTGTTGGCGACCCGGCTATTTGCTAGAGCCTGAAAATGATGTAATGGAAAATTTTTCACGTTAAGCTAGATGCATTTGGAATTTACTTTTAAATGTAGGTCGGGCATTGTGTCAGAGAATAAAGTTAAGATGCTGATTCCCCAACGATGAGTTAGGATGGATAATGTTCAAAACTTCTCGTTGTCGGCTACTAAATATATACTATCTGACGCCGTAAGATTTCATTTTTGATTACTGTAATTAGGACAGATGCGACGGAAATAGCCTTGGAACCGGGGGAACTAGTTCGCTAAAGTATTACTCACACCCTTCTCAAAAAAGGTATGATAGAAGTCCTATGCTATATTGCTGTCAAAAAATAAATCGCAACACAGTTTCACTCGGCTGGGAGATTCTTATTCTCAATTACTTTTACATGCCAACGTGTTAACCTTTCGAAGCGGGTTGGTAACTCAATCGAGCCATAAACAGTCACGCAACCCACAAAACTGTAAGTTAACCCATTTGCAAGAAGCAAGGCTGTGTATAGATTAGGATTAAGAAGAATAACGGCTTAAAGATGCATGCAGCGTTAAGTATACATCGGGCTATCTTGCGATGCCAGTCTACTATCAAGTTTTACAATTAGTTTGTTCTTTCGTAAAACAAGGGGGGCGACGATAAAGCGATTATCGAAAGCTGATCTTTTCGTCTTTTAACAACTAACTTTGCTGCAGGTTATAACACAATTCAACCTGATTTGTTTTCCAATAAGGCCAACTACATAGATAGGGCACTAGGGATGTTAGTATCGAAGGTGCGCGTCAATGTTGATCGGTGCTATACAGCCTTGAAGCAATAGCGACCGACGCTGTTTACGTTACCAACGGCAGTCATAATTGATATACCAAACGCGTAGATATATATGTATTAGAAGATATATACATATATCTTCTGACTATGCCAATTATTATTTTTACATAGATTGGATTTAGGGCCGAAGAATACTGAATCGACGCTTCTACCGGGAGTGTGGTAGTATCGTTTAAAGAAGTCCCGAGACATTTTACGTGTTTCCGTCTCCTGCACATCATTAGGTATGTAGGTATTTAAACCCGCAGCTTGAAAAAAAAACGTGATGGAAGAGTGCCGACGAGAAAATGCCCACGTAGTTAGAAAAGCAGAAAGGGAAACGCTGCGTTCACAGATCTTAGCTTGGAACAATAAATCTTTATTGACGCTATGGTTATCGTGGCAAATGTATGCATTAACAAGATTTACAACATAAGACAAATAGAAATGCATGGGCTTGATTTTCTTGATGCCAGTTATATTTATATGCGTATTTGTTGATCTTACCGATTTAAATGATCATTATACACTAGAAAGTACGGTACATTTACCTTATTTAGATAATGTTGTCTGGTCGTTACGACAACGTATGCTGCATTGCCTGTCCGAGTAATTCTTACATAGTATACTATCTTAATTTAGATGCCTTGTATTTTTATTGTTTTTTTTACATTTTTCAGGCACTGTTCCATTCATCTGCGCCATCTACGTACTGGACTCGTGGCCATTCGGCTTGTTTCTGTGCAAGCTGTCAGAGTTTATGAGAGATTTATCTATAGGCGTCACAGTGCTTACTCTGACGATGTTGTCGATCGATCGTTACATCGCAATTGCTCTCCCACTTTATAAACGGAAAGGTGGCCGACACGATCGTCGAGTGACAATTGTCATCACGTGCCTTGTGTGGTTCATTGCTTCATTGATGGCCATACCTGGTGCTTATTTTTCCTATCTCGGGGAGGCACATCTTCCAGGTAGGCCACCCATTGTATACTGCCATCCGTTTCCACAACACATGCAACCCTGGTATCCGCGTCTCATGGTGATGATGAAGTTCCTAGTTCAATACGTTATCCCGCTCATTGTAATCGCGACTTTTTACATTCTCATGTCGCGATCGCTGATCAAAACGGCAAAAAGTACACTCTGTGACCAAAAAAACGCGGCTGCCAAGAAACAGCAAAAGGCTCGAGTCAAGGTTTGTAGTTTTACTTCACATTTGACTCTCGTCTAACTATTTCACTAAACGAAAAGCTGTCTTTTATTTATTCCTGTGAGTGAGCGACTGACATAGATTAAACAGAGCAGTAAAAAGAGGACCATAAACTCTATAAGTGATTCAAAGAAAATAAGTGGCTCTAAAATTACCCTATTTTTGTCCAATCAACCTTGGCGCCTATTGGTCATATGTGCTCGAATATATAATGGCCTCGCGCGAAACGTGGATTCGCTAATAATAACTGGACCCGTAAAACCGGATCACCTACGTGTACGTCGGAGTACAGCTTTTCTGCAGTGGCACATTGCAAAAAAAAGGGTGCCTGAATAAGGCAAAACAGAGGAATGTTAATTATAATATCGTTATTGTGGACTCAGTTGAAATCAATCAGAAGAAACAGTTAGCTTATGTCAGATCTACTAGGTAATCTTCCAACGTGCAGTACTACACATTGTGAATGGGGACTTCCTATGGTGATCGCATACTATGCACGCGACCAGCAGAATACACATAAAAAAAAAACTGCCTGGAAGACCTGAATGAGCTTTATCACGACGGCGACGCGTCTGCCTAATGAGAGTACCGTGCCGGCAAGAGATTCTTCGCGGTTTTCTAAGACTATGCACAAAAAATTTCGCGGGCTTTGTCGTTTAATAAGGCCGTTCTGTGCCCCTCAAACGCCCCAAGACCTATCTGAGATAGCACTATGCAGTTACATGATAATAGAAATAACCCCTACAGAAAGTCATATAGAACATCATCAGCGTTATTCTTGGACGTCTGGGTTCGGTTGTGTTAAGCGCCTAACTTGTATTTCCTAGCAGTTACTTGGATAGAAGCAACTTCCTATCGCGCATAGAAAAGCTTCGTTTATGGGACAAGCTTGAGTGCAAAAATGAGAAACTTATGTCGCTTTAATAATATATATTTTCAGAACCAAAATCCAGTTAGTGTACGTTAAAGCTACTATACGTCTAGGCGTCTGGTCTTTAGCATTTTTTTTTTTACATATATCGTGAACAAATCGAATCATAGGGCTTTGACATCGCCATTCCGATTCATCTGCAATGAAGGTTCCTCCGAAAAGTTGAATGCAAATGTTATATCATGAGTCTTCAACTACCCTTGGCTAGCAATAGACTCAGAAATGCTGATACTAAACGATTAAAGCAATTCATAAAAAAAAGAAAAGCAATTTGTGATTTTCTTTTGCTGGCCTGCGCAGCAAACAACTGCGAAGGATTTGTATGTTACTTTAAAACAACTACCGACCCAGAAAAGATTTATCATTTACTCATATAACGGACAGCCCGGATAGACAACTAATGCAGCACTACCTCGAATAATTATGTAGGAAATTTAATCTTCCTATCGCTTTTCAACTTTGTGTAATAATGCTTGATATGAAATTGTTACCTAATCGTGTGAAGCCGTTCTATTAGATAATTCGAAATACTGCAAAGTATCTTCGTCCGCATTTATTAAACAAATCAGATACAGGTACAGATAAGGCGTGTTTCTAACATATTTTCTTTCATTATCTATTATTTACTACAAAGTGTTTTGGTTCAAGCTGAAATAGCGGCATCGATAATATTTGCAAGTGATGTTTAGTGTACAATGCTTCATCGATTGTCTGTTGAATATTTCAGGTAGCCAAAATATCACTGTGCTTCGTGCTAATATTTGCCGTGTGCTTTTTCCCGAATCATGTCGTCATGATTTGGCTCTACTTCCATCCGAATGCTCATCAGAACTACAACGATTTTTGGCATCTGTTTAAACTATTCGGGTTTGTGCTGACATTTGTGAACTCGTGCCTCAATCCAATTGCTCTCTATTTCGTGTCAGGCGTATTTCGTTCCTATTTCAAAGCGTACATTTGCTGCCAGCCACGTACTCGGACAGTGGTAAATAACTCGATGCTATCCTACCGTCAATCATTGCACCCTTCTGTGCAGATCGATAGCACTTCCTTGAGGGCATCGCTAATCTCAAGACATTCCGGTCATGGCGTCTATGATCATCGAAAGAATTCAACACGCATTTGACAGAAGTAAGTACTCTCCCAATAAAAGACACATAATCTCGTGCTTTGTTTTGCGTGGGTCTGAAGCACCCGCCAAAGACACGTTAGCAACGGCGCCATAGAGAGAATTTTTATAAAATTCGATTTATATTCGTGGGATAAACTAATATACAAAGGAAGCTAATTTTTGCTTCGGCAGGTACAAGTAACTCTAAAACAACACCATACTAATGTGAAAACTAGTTTATAATAAGCAACCAATTCACTCTAGTTTTTCTACACCGCGGAATTATCCAGTCGGTGAAAGCAAACTTCCGGATCATTGTTTTGTTATTGCATCGAGAAATTCGCCTACTAGAAGCGGTAGGCCAATGTAGAAGGTTTTGCTGGGCTTGGTATCTGGATCTTCCTCAAGAGATTTATAAAACGGCACGGTAGCCATATAAGCAGCTATTAACCCAATTTTTATTTCAGTAGGTAATTTTACAATGATGACTTCTTCTTTCAGCCCTGGTAATCACCTTTGCCAGCTCTGGGAATTGAACCAGCGCGGCTGCACGCATCATATTCTTTTCATGGTAAACATAACGACGTAGTTTAAAAGACGCGTATTAGTCACGCGTCTTTCTCGCTGTAACAGCAACCTATTACATGTCGCAAACATGCGGAGCTAACCACACTAGTTCCACATACAGTAAAAAAGAAAAAAACTATTTGTCCCCGTTCCCTCAGATGCTGAAGTTTCAAATCAAGGTAATTTCTCAGTTTTTCGGTGATCTTTCATAAATTATCAGCTTTGTCATTTGAATTTAGTAATCCACTATGCTCAGCTACTTACCACTACTGGATAACTACAATATATGATCAAATTAAAGAAGTATTCGCAATGTTCAGTCAATATCACATAAATATATGTGGTCTTTGACTAGGGTCTCATTAGTGTTAGTAGGGTTCCCCAGTTATTTTTATATAACCCCATAATGATTTTTAATGTCTAGTTTCAATATATTGTGCAGTTGAAAAATCTTGCGGAAATGTCCCGCACTTCCTGCAGATTTCAATCGACAGGAACAAAACTACATATATATATATATATATAAGCATCATATTAAAAAAATCACTCACAGATGATCTCGTTACTTACTATTCATTTATTATTCTTGTATTGTGATATCGGTTCACTTGATAGTGAGCTTTCCCTGGACTCAAATTCGATGGGCTATTTTTAGAATCGTTCTTATTTTAGATGTCCTCTATCTTTTTCAATATGTTTCTATCTGTCTATGTCATAATCATACGAATAAAAAGCGCCACTTAATAAGCATCTATCTGGAATAGCACACCGTATGTCACCAAAATAAAACCATTCATTACTTACTGCGTTTACTTCACAAACAATATTGCCCTGTAGGGCTTAGTGTCATCTCAAATAAAAAAAAATGCTTGTGAGCACTAGAATCTTGTTTAATAGAGAACACAAAAACCTATTTTCAAATGTTTAAAATGCTTGATTCTCTTTTCTCGCTAAAACGAATCTGGGGGCCGTCTTTTGAAGCATAACACAGCAGATTGTCTTGATTCACCGCTGCGGTGAGAGCCTTCCCTGTACTCAATCACGGAAAGCGGCCCGCATCTTCACGATTACTTCTTGTCTACACAGATAACAAAATGACTCTGAAAATAACTACAGTTTCAATAAGCTGAAGGCTTGATATTAAAAAGAAAAAAAAACTGTGTGTTATGTGACACATATTTGCTGTATTTGATTTGCTTGGAGCAACTTGGATGAAAACAAAGTCGCTTTTTTTAGCTACCTTTTGTCTCAACATCTCATAGAATTAATGCGTTATTGGTAATCGCCTTCGCTGAAGGCATGAGCGATATCACCGACACATGTTGCAATTGCAAGTCTATTGTACACCCGAAGCTTGTGCCTGATTCTGCGAATCGAGGAAACACGTTACACGAAATGATGGCCATCATAAGAAAAACATCTAAAATTCGCCAAGTTTATCTATCTCCATAGTGATCTTGACTTAATTCGCACAAATCGTTTTGCTGTTATTAATAGTAGTTTTCATTTTATTGTAAGTAAATTTAACAAAAAAAAAAAGACAAGCTAGTTACTAGCATTAAATTTAATAATGCATTTCGATTCTATATATTTTTAAATGATTGTACATAATGGTCTGATACGCTGGTGTGGTAGAGATAATGGTCTGGCCGGGACATGACAGGCGTTTGCACGGAATTCAGCAAACTTCCTCGGACACTTTATATTTAAGTTAGACTAGGACCCGTTTTGCACTTTTCAGAACGAGGTAGAATGTCAAATATATTATCAGCTACGGTACATATTACTAGAGCACCAGTGTTGACTGCATTACCCGACTCGAAAAATCGTCGCGAATGCAACGTAATTTATATTCAATGTCAGTCTGTATAGCAGCTACAGCGTTTACGTATCCGAGAGAACTGAGTATGGTGTAACGCTTTGCAGGTCTGATCTGGACAAGCTCAGCGACATTTACGCTCACAGCCTTTCCATAAGGCAAGGACATCGCCCCATTTGTCTCAAATACAGCACCTGTTGTAGCAGCAGCAGAAAGATTCACATGGAAAAAATAAGTAACTGTTCTGCGTAGACCTAGAGGCACACGATCGACATTGCGAGGATGCAGAAGGGACGATCGAATGACTCTTGGCAGCAAAGTAAATTTTTCTGACAGAACCTCTGCATATAGCAGGCGATCGACGGGCCCACAATGACACACATATTTTTCGGGGCCAACAGGGAACATTATGGCAAAATACTCATTCTCAGCAGCAGAAGCAACAACTGGGTTATTGTCAATCGTTTGGATGCCTACCGTTTGGATAATTCATCGCGCTGAAGCTTTCTCAGACGCAACAAAGACATGTAGCAATGAAGTGGTCTCTAACGAATGTGGACATGGGCAAAATGGAACTCGAGCAGAACAAACAGGTACAAGAACACGTTCTTTTATGCACTGATGTTTATGCCGAATCGAGTGATGCCTACCCTTGCAAAGAGAACCCACTTTTTATTCAAACATAAAAATTAGAAAAGACTGCGAAGGGTGGTACATTCGATCCTACATACACATAATAACAAAAAAAAATAGCTTTCAAAGTCTACTATTAACATGACTGGTGTACATACTAAGCATAAGTAAACGAAAAATGTGTGTCCACTTTAATAAAACCCGAGGTTTAACGGTTCGGATACTTTCTTGTGCTCTCACAAATAATGAGAAACGGCTGTAATGTATGAAACTTATATCATAGTAATCTAAGCAGTCGAATTAAGACTCAGTTTTATTGCTTCTGTTTCTATTCTGATAACAGCTGCCATCTTATTCGGGTTTCATCAGTCATCAATCAATCATTGTCCAAACAAGTAGATTAGCAGCTGGGACCTAGCCACCCGACGTCGTATCAGACAACATAAATTTTCTAGAGGGCTTGCACGGCTGGCACACGAAAATGATATTAAGCTGATAATACGACTGTTTGACATACGTTTTTGATCAGACGGCAATAAAATGCGAATTCCCGAGTTAAAAACAAAATCTCTCGGGACGCCAATATTTTTCGTATAACTTTAATTTAGTAGATCGTTATAAAAGGCTGTAGTACTATATACGTATATTGCAGTCGTGTATCTCCTAAAAGTCGTAGATATCCCAGCGTACGCAATAACAATTTAGCTTGTAGGTGTTACGATCACACTGTTTAAGTTAGCAGGGTTCATAAGTATCAAGCACGACAATTAAGCAGTCAACTACAATGACGGGTTTACGATAGAAAATTATGGTAGTTAACCAATAGAGAATTTTGCTTTTTAATCATTCACTATTTTCCCCTAGACTAAATTCGAGCGAAGACGAGAAATGGAGTGACCGTGGCTTTTAACGGTGAAGTTCACACCTCGTAGAAAAGCGAATGTAAACAGAAAAAGGACGGTGATATAGGGTGTGATAGAGAAATTACGTATTGATATACCTGGTTTCAACATACTCGACATAGGTTATTGGTGCCCCGGTGTGTAAGCTGTTTTATTATATGGTTTTTCCACATTTTTTTTTTGTTTACCAATTGCACTCAAGCCGATTCCGTTTGCGCTTTTATTCTTAAGCATCTAAAGCACAAATTTATGAACTACTACTACTACTACGATCTATATACTTTGAACATTGGGGCGACCGCCTGCCGCGCATTCGAATATCGCATTGTGTTTCTATTGTGTCGTTTGCTTTCTTAGCTGTACGTTAACATATTTAGGCTACAAGTATGTATTGCAACTAACCTGTTTATTTTTTGGTATAAATATTCTTACCAGCACGAGATCCAGCTATCGAACAGGTGGAATGGGAAACAGACTTTAATTTAAAACTCTGAACCGCATTCCGATTACTGAAAATATATGGAGTACTACTGTTGGCTGTTTTTTACTATCAGTTCGGCTAAACCTTGGCCCGGTTAAAACATTCAGCCTTTAGATCTATAATTTACCCTGAAACGTTGCGTTTAACGTAGCCTCGATTGGTGTGTTGGTAAGCGTGTTTTTCCACTTAGACGTGAAGTAAATATCGAATTATAAAATTCACATGGCCAATTGAGGAAGAATACTCTCACTTTACCCATTCTTTCGCCATTAGTATTGCTCCCTTCGCTGTGCTGATGCAACGTTAAAGTCAAGCGTATGGGTGCACTAACACTCCTCGTCCTCATCATTTCATCATGTTAACTATTTTAGATGTTTAACTGTTAGTAGATGGATATCGGCAAACAGTATAAAAGTTGGTTACGCTTATTATTTTAGCTGAAAGGAGTACAAATTTGGGAAAATGCACGAGTGCCGAATGACGGCATCATTCGATACGGCCTTTTATCGGTCCAGCTGATATCTGATGGTAAAAAACGAGAAAAACCTGTAGTAAGCTTTGGATTACGAGTACGATGTCTGTATTGGACAACCACAAGAACAAAGCATGTCTTCTATGAGATAAGTTGATACTAGCCTGATATGCGTATAAATAATATGGCGTTTTCCGTGGTACAGTAACGTTTATTTCCTTAGAGCGGTGGTGTAGCGTCAGAGAATTCAACTTATCAAAAATTCCGCAAAACAGACAAAACCTATAAAATTAAAAATAAAGGATTTTATTTATCAAGCATTACGTGTTTGTTTCAAAAATGTTTAAAACCAGGGTTTAAATGTTCTTCACATCACTTTCGATTAAACAATTTTGCCGGTTAGTAATGCAGCTTCGATTAAGACATAATCTATTTTTAGGAATAATAAAATATGTTTAATTTACAATTTTAATAACAATTTTTTTTATCAAACAAACAGACGGCTCTGTTGTTGTTGTGCGCCTACAACTTTGAATTTGCGCGCGTCTATTCTTCGTGTTATATATCTCGTTATTATCGTCGTTATGCATTACTGCTTCAAACTGTTAAATAGCTCCTTCTACTCTTCAGCTTCGAATCTCGACCATTTTACGTCTTCCCACCACTTAAACACTGCATTATCATCAGGATGACAAGCTTGCAGATAAACATTTTTGCCTCCCTACAGATAACTTATAATTTTCCTATTCATTAATCGGTACCTGACGTCTAAGGCGCACGTATTCGTAGTTGATCATTATCAGCGGTAGAAATAGTAGCTTAAGCCCGAATTAGTAGCTCTCGTTTTCATAACCTCTGTATTTTGTCTATTTGCCATATAACTATTTTGCTGAAGGCAAACCGTACCCATGTTATGAGTGTGTGATTGAATTGCAAATTTTCAGTGAAGACTCCCGTACGGGGTACCGAAAATATAGACCCTATTTATTTCTAATCTAATAAAATAAGACTTCTAGCGTTGTGAGAATTGTGGTTTTATTCAGTCCAACGAAAATCTCTCTGCGCACCTTCGCTGCGAATTTCCATGAGTAAAAATGATTTCTACGTATATCAAGCCACAAATGCCACATCATATAAATTTAGAATACTCGTGCTTACGAATTTGGGAGCCCGATTAGTACCACATTGAACATCAAATATGACACTATTTAATAGCCACCTTTGCCAGCTAAAAGACCGTTCTAAGCATGCTTGAGGTTGCTACTGGTTTCCCGCCGATGGATGACTGAGTTTATAATAGGATTCGCGCTCTGCAACACGTGGTCGGACAAGCAGGTTTCCCTAGAAAAATGTTTCTTTGGTCTGCTTGGCACTTCCCTTTTCGAGACGACTGTAAAATTAATTAGTTCATGTTAGAAAAATTGGACCAGCCATGTATATGGAAGATTGTATCGGAAATCGTGGATGGAATAAAAAAAATTGGGGTGCCGTTAAGTGTAGAAATCAGAACGAAACCATTGATTGATTTCAGAAACATACGTTTGGTCATAGGTAGATGAAAAATGTGGTAAAATCACGTTTTTCTATATTTCAACCCGTTAGACAGTAGTTCAGATGGCTCACTTCGAGATTCGAACCTACACCACCACGTACGTCTTTCTGAGCTTAGCTAGCACACACGTTGCACACTGTGCTACCAATCAAGATTGTAACGATGGGGCACAATAAACCTCGTCACTGTAGAAAACGAATCCAACCTGTAAACTATCGACTTTTTTTTGTAGTGAGTGCGTCGACTCCTATTTTATTAGAATTTTCTGTTCAAATAGCACAAGACGCCTTCGGCTTGCAATATATAACACATATTTCCCTTATAAAGAGCGAAATATTTAAACGGTCTTTCATATCTTACTTAGATCAGAAATTTGACTGTTAATAGTGGCGAATACAAACAAAAAATAACACCGTTGATAGTGAAAGACGGCGGTGAAGAGCGGCGTTGAATAAAGACCTGAACAGAAGAGTTATTATTATTAGCGATTATTGACAGGCCTGGTATCTAACTTTGCCTTCGTGGGCGGCCCCACACCGAATGCACCGTAGAAGTTCGCGCTGCCGCTTGCTGTGTGCATGTCAACAGCTGTAGAAAACAACGGCAGCGATCAATGCCTGCAACTGCATAATTATATATATATACGTATATCAATATTTTTTTATATATATGACAGTGTGTGATGTCAAGGATACCACTCTTTCGTGATTACATAAAATCGACAGCAAAAGCTTCATATGGGGCATAAATAGGCGCCAGGAAGTTCTTTCTGCTCGAATGGCCAGATTTATTTTTATGTAAGGAGAAGACCTTTTGGAACCGTGCTTAAAATATTGCATCAAAAACAACCTCTTTTTTCTCAGTTAGTATGCACGTACATTCCACTTTCTCTCTGGCGCTCTTTATCTATGTTATATGCTTGACAAACGCTGTCATTCTTTTCCATGATGGCTCATCTCTTACAATTAAAATTACCATCTAAGCGCATGTTGCATCCTAAGCGAAAACAAATGCTTTCCACAGACGTATGTGTTGCTTATTAGATACATGGCAGAATGTAAAAATATAATGGGTGCTGTCTACCTCTCCCGTCTTGGAGTTTAAGCAAGTAGGAGGTCCGCCTTTACCAATTCGATATTGATACTGCTCAAAAGTACCGTGACTCGTAACCAACTGGGTTGGTGGGAACGATCCGTGTCCGCGTTTATACCACTCAGCCAAATTGGATTGGGGATTTCGTTTAGGAACCAGGTTCTCTTGGTTGGATCGAATTCTACCGCTGTAACCATTTCTCTACGATTGTTTTGCGGATGGTTTCTCCTGACGTGGTCAGGTTGGCTTATCTATCTGACACCCCGGGAACTCTATAATTCCATGGAATTTTCCGTTAGTAGAACTTGTGCAAAAGCCGTAGCTGCGGTGCGGTATCCTCTTGATCATATTGAGGACTATCGGCTACTACGTTCTGTCTAGAAGCTTAGATTTCTTCATTGTTGCCTTTTTTTAAATCCAGGCAGCCTACACTATTGATGTCAGTAAACGTTTTCTCCATCCAAGGCTCCCTCAGTCCGTGGGTCTAGGCGTCGAGGGTCAGCTGCTGTCTAGGCGGTCGGCTTTGCCACGTAGTGAACGTGCGACGTGCAGGTTCTTTGGTTGACGATAGTCTCCAGGTATATTATCTGTTTGGATAGTTTGATCTAATAACCGTGGAAGTTCGCGTCGCCTTTGTTTTTTTTAGCGCCAAGTCCAGTCGTCTGGGCGGTACCAAAAAATAAGATATCCATGGGGATCACATTTACCATCAATTTCAATTATTAGCGGTTCGGATCGATCAAAATCAGCATACAGTTGTCTACGTACACCACTGAGTGCGTGTCTGTAAGATAGGCGTAGCAGCGTGTCGTACGTTATGTTCCACAAGGTGAATCTGAGGACCAAAACCTGTACGATCCTGCTCTAGCTTGGCAGGCCGCCAAATGATAGATAGCCCGTCTCTCAGTTATGACACTATCGTTCTCGGGTAAATATATTATATTATCAAATTATCTCAAGGCGTCTTTTATCGCATCCCAAATCATCGACTTGAACCTATTCTCTACGTCAAGGAGGATTGTAGCAATGGGCAGGAATGTCGGTAAATAGCGCGGTTATGCTTCTTTGTGGTTCTTTTGCTGAGGCGGGTGGAAAAGCATGCTTTGCACGGCTTTGTACCCCTTTCCCCACAGGTGTGTCTCCCACCTCCTCACAGAGCAGCCTTCACTGATTCTCTCTACTCCTGTCTTCTCCTGCTGTTCTGGCGAATTGCGCCTCCTAGTGCACCTTTTTCGCTGACAATAACGGTCGTCTCGAGTCAACGTCACGCGGCCATTTCTTCAGTACAATAGGTGTCTGTCGGCGATTTTGTAGAAGGCCGGTCATTTGATTGATATTTCATACACATTTTTCGAGGCTTGTAGTGAATTTGCGTCCTACAGGTGCGAGTCCGCACGTTGAGCTCACATCTTAGTTTCTTGTAGTCTATGCGTTTGGCTGATCTGAGCATATTTTTGGCGGTTGCAGACGAGACTGAAAAGCATATGGTGTATGAGATGTAGACATGATCGCACCGGGTTTCCGTGTCATCTTCTATTCTCGTTAGGAGCTATTTGTTAGCTATACGTGTCGTGGAGTTGAGCCGATTATTATCTCGCCTTACTGTTTTGTCCTCGGACGTGTTGACAACCATTACTACATATCGATACGTAAAATTCCCACACTTCTCAAAAAGTTCCAATACACCTCCATCGTGTAATTTAAGGTGTATATATATAGAGCAGACGGTCATGTCTTTTGTTTCGATAATGATGAAGTGATTTTTCTATTCTGTTTTTGAGTAACTCAGTGTAAGTAAGGGAGGTTTTATTTAGGTCGCAAATGAAGAAGTTTTTTGTTTGGGCCATGGGTGGTTCTTGAAATCAATAGGTGGCTGATGCAGTTTGTGACAGTACGTTTTCTGCTGGGAAGTTCCGATGCGAACGCAAAGTACAGGACACTGAGTCGATGTTGCATAGCGTCCGTCCGCCTTGCATACGTACCAGAATACAAGCTCCATATACTCCTTGTTCAAATAATTCGCTTTTCTGCACTTAGAGCACGGCAGTTCTTTCCGGGGTTCGTTGTGCAGCAAAGGCGAATCGGATCCTCGAAACTAAGGCAGTATATGCATTATGAGACCGGAATCACCTTGTCTATCCTGCACAGAATCCATCCCGTCTTGACGTATCTCTAACAAATAGTTGTGCGGTCTTCGTCGGTAGCTTGATGATGTGAGAGCAATCTCCTGTGTTTGTGCAGGTTGATCTAGATTTCAATGGTACGAGATACCCTGCGCTGAAAAGCTCCGTCTAAGTTCAATGGCGTTTATCTTCTGACGATGATCATCCTACATTACATTCGAGTGTTTGCACTAACTACCATTGATACGCTGGCTGTGATAGCTGCTGCATTCGTGCAATTCGTAGGGGGCTGTGACATCCTCGTTTCTTCTTATGACTTCAAGTGCAGCTTGATCTTAGATAGTTACACTTTTTTTTTTTTAGATAGAGTCTTGCATACTTTAGCGCAGAAAACTTGGTGATGAAGTACTAGAACAAGGATCCTTTGCGTTTGTTGCTGAAAGCAGAACTAAGTGTGTTGGCATAGAATGCTCATGTTAGGCAGCTTCGTCGGGCCGAGGTACATTCAGGTCAGTTATTCGCCAGCAGCATAAGTTCTGCTTTTCTTTCAGAGTCGGGTCCTTGAGGGTGTCACAGGTACTTGACGCGTTTTTCTCCATTCAAGGATACCTCTCCTTCTTGCCGTGTCCATTTCTTTCCGTTGACGCGACAGTATCTCATGGAGGGACGCCTGTGGCGATTTTTAGATAAGCTTTTTTATAGTTACGCCGAGATAGGAGACGTCGTCTTCTTCTTCTGACAGCCGTAATCGGATGCTCTAGATTTATGGCTGGCTCGAGTAGTATTATTAAATTAGCGACAGTGAGAGAGAACTTTTACAGCTTGTAGACTTGATCCGCTCTTGCGCTGTAGAATACATTTACGAGGCTTTAGATTTCATCATGTTGGTCCCTGTAGCTGCAGTGGTGATTTTTGTTGGCGTCATTATCTTCGGAGGTGATCGTGTCACTTGGGGTCGTGTTGCCTTCCACTTTGTCTTTGTCCGCCTCGGTTGCTGTTGATAGTTGCGGCTTTTTCAAAGACACTGTAGGAGTTGATGTTTATCCTCTGGTTTAGGGCTTTTGTCAAAGTTCACGCAGTCTACGGGGGTAGGCTGGGCCTCGCTGACTGCCATGTGAAGGGTAAGTGATGCAGGTCTCTCGTCCGATTAGCTTCGTTTTCCTCCCTTGGGGGTCAATCGTTAATACCTGGTGGATCAGCTACTGTTGGTCCTCTGGACCTAGAGTAGAAATGCGAAACCATACTGAAAATTCATTACCTTACCTTTTAGGTTTCCCAGTTAGCCTGATATTGTCTGTAATCAGCCAAGAGCTGAACAGTTTGCATCAAAATCTTTAGGTCGATCTTTCGCTCGAAATACATCCCTTGCTCCAACCTGCTGATTGGCGCGCCTAACTAACATTTGACAATTCGCCTCCCAGCTCTACCAACTTGATCGCCGGCTCACATATAAACTCGGCGCAAAAGCCACGATTGTACGCAAACGATTTTGAGCAGAAATTTCAAAGAGCGTTTTTGCACTCTTAGACAGTTTTGATGCCGAGAACGCAAAACGTCGGTGAAAGATCAATTATTTTTGTTTGCTAACTACTTGATAGTGGTCGCAGTCCGGATTAGTCTATTGAATCGGTCGGCTAGCAGCCCACTTAGAAATACTGTTAGTATTTGCGATAATTTACCACTAATTTTGCTACACTGCGTTCATTAATAGACACAGAGTCACAATAAGGTTAAGTGTCGACTGCACTCTAGGAACTCGCTCGCGAGAACTATATTTTACTGTACTTTTCGAAAAACCTCTTTAATTACGCTATCTCTCAACCAGCTGGTTACGTAACCGCCGAGAATAACCAGACCAATGACGTTGAGTTAGTCAAAAAGGGGAAGCAAAGGTCCGAGAAGCACGCCTTATTTTTTTTACTTACCGATACACGCAATATCGAACCTTACAGAGAAATAGGAATAGGCATCGTGTTACTTTTTAACAGTATTGTAACTTTGTCGTCTGATGCTTACCAATTCCAGGAGTCCAACCCCGAGTGGGCAAAGAGTCGTCCATTGGTCCAGGGCGCGAACTTTCTAAAAGTTAAATAACTTTGAATCCTCTGCGGTGGAGGCAAAAGCCTGAATAATCTGTTTCTACGAGTGTAATTTTGTGAGGCTGCGTGAAGATAAAGTTGTGGTATTTGTAAAAAAGTTTTGAAAATCAGTTATGAGAGGATTAATGAGTTAAGCTTGAATTTGACGTACCGAGTACTGAGGCTGTACATATATAATCCACATCTTTATTGATACAAACATAACGCAGCTACAAAATGAAAATACGAGTGATTTATTTTGTAGAAGGTTGTACGTCCTCTGAAAAGAATAGGTCATCCCAGTATGGGAAAACTCTGACGCAATGATGTCAGATGTGTGATAATAAAGGTGACCTTGATAAACAATTTTAGATAAATACTATAAAAATATTAAAAATTCATCTAAGATCATCAATTGCTCTTTATAGTTATCACTTAATGATGTATATTCCCTATCTTATAGAGAGAAAAAAAAATAGGGTAGAGAGAAAAAGAAAGAGTTAACGATGTGTCAAATTCAGCAGATATTAGAGGCATAAATAATCATCAGCTTACTGTACTAAGATTATTAAGCTGAGCCTTGTAATATATACGACTTGATAAAGCCTGCAGGTCTGCAAAATATGATTATTGCAATGGTGAACGCGTTTACTTATTGACTTAACATGATGGCATCACAGCATTGACTACTTAATGAGGCTTAATGCTCAAACGTAACGACCTTCGCTTACTCTTGTAATTTCCTCGGAACAACAGACATTCAGTGTTTATTCTATGGTTTACTTTTTTCGCCGCCATTGATCTCTTCGCATGCGTCTGCGTAGCACGCCCTTTGTTCAACATCAGATTACATCGTAAGTAGGTAATTATGTAAAAAGGATCACAGTGCCTGATAAAACGCAAGTATCGATAGGTGAATCATGTCAGGAAGCCAATTATAGCAAGAGCTTCACGATACGCACCATTTACAATCTGTTTAGGAACATTTATATGTCACCGTTTATCGTCTGTTAATTATTTGTTTATTACAATAGTGAGTGGTGTGATGCCACCATTTCAACTCAATATGTCTACCTATATATGGACGTAAGTGTTTAACAACACATTTCGTTCTTCGTCTTCAACAGTTAAGCCTATCTCGTCCTAAATATGATCCTACTTTTCCTCCTTCCCTCTTTATATACATATAGCAGGGTGAATTACTGTTAGTAGGAAGAATATGGCTATGTACATGAATTATATCCAAATCGTCACGAAAAATAATTGCACATACGATTTGTATATTCAAGCGTAATATCGCTCCGATTAGATTGTTAATGGATGAGCTTTTGTTAGGCTAAATATAAATGAAAGCAGGTTAGATAGATAAAAAGACAAGAGTAAGAAGCTAATGTAGAAATTACATTGTCTTCTCCAGAGCACCGTAGGATCCTACTAAACACACTATTACATACTTGTACAACATATTAGCCATTGAGGACTTGGCACCACGATAGATCGGCACACCATGTTCTAATAGTTACCTGGCCCAGACAATTGCAAAATAAATAAACTTGCATCTTCCGATCATGAGCGTCTGAGGAAAAAGGGTTTAGATTTGGTAGGGTAGCCTTTTCAGTTGTTAGGCTTACAGCGTATTTCTACTATCATATATTTAAGGCAAGTATCAAATAGCAGAAGTGAAAAGGTAGTCACAGTCTCACTCTACGTGCAAGACCTTGCGTTCAAAACTTTTTTTCCAACTCCTAATGACACCGTCTAAGGTTAAGCAATGAAATACTTCTAGACATTGCTGCGCAACGTAATGCAATAGAAGTACTATTATTAATGAACAAATTCAACTAAAAAACTTACAAATAATTTTTTCATCATATATATGTCGCTGTGTCTAATTTGTTAAGTCGTTTTTTGCATGGTAGGGTACATGCAGGTTTGCTCAGTTTTTAAGGCCTTGCACAGATCATAGAAGCCTGAGAGCATAAATGAATACCACGTTGACATTGAGGTCTATTATTGTTCATGCCAACCGTAGTTTGACACTTGTAAAACTACGAAATTTAGATAAAATCGATGTTTTAACAAGTCTTTTGCTGCTGCTGCTGCTGCTGCTGTTGAGTGAATGCTAGTATCACTATTGCTGATAGTACTCTTGATGTAAGTACTCGCGTCTTCGAAGTGTACTCGAACAAGTTCTTTGCTAGACTTGGAATATGCTAGCAGTGAAAATTTAAGCCTCACAAAAAATATTTATACCATATTTTGTTGAATCACAAAAATGTTTATAGTGTAAACGTATCAGGGATAACCTTGCGATGTGCTTTTATCCTACTTGATTAGAGCAATTATGCGCCCTTAAAGACCGCTCTCGAATCTAGTCACATGAAAAACACGTTCGGTTCTATCGTGAAGTACTATCGAATCTTACCGAAACGCTGGAATCTAACTTGAAGTTGCTTCCTCATTACATCGTGTAAACTATATAGCATGCTACAAGCAGCTAGATATTTATGAGAGAGAGAAAAAGTAATTGAATTTACCTGCATCCGAAGCACGTCCGTGTACGACACGGCAGTGAGTACTTCAGCTTTGAATTCATTAAAATTTCGAAATATGTCTGCTAGTGTGAAGCTGCGGCAGGCCAATTACTCGTCGAACAAGAAAGCATCACTGGTTTGTTTTTACTAAAGGGTAATCGACAAAAGGCTAAACTGAGGAACATGCGATCATCGAAATTGCGTTCTTTGTCTAACTCGTTAAATGCACAAGCGTTTAAAGTACGTCTTTAAGTATTTAAGATGTCTGCGGTTTACCAACTAGATACACAGTTAGGGGTATGATAAATACGTGTAACTAAAATCTGTTTGAACAGTGCAGGCCATGGAGAGTACTATTGTGTATTTAGCCGACCCTGTCTACATAGACTTTGCGGTCGTTATTTTCAGAGCTCTGCCTAGCCTTAGCTCTTATTACCCTCTACATATAAAATACTCTTTTTTGTCTCAAACTCCGCGTGAATGGCCCTCGTGGTCCACACTATAAAGCGAACTAGTTCGTCCAACACGGTTAACTCTAACCAGTAAACGTACGGTTTCTAGTAATGAGCCCCTTATTAGCTGAGATCTTTATGTGCACATGATTTTTGCGCATAAGCCGAAGTAACATGCTAAGGAAATTTGTTCCACCGAGTTAGAGTTTGGCCTCTTAAACGTTACGTGGACACGTACTCAGGTTTGCTGGAAACGATCAATAGAGTATAATCATCGATGCTTGCTTTTGACGTAGTCAGTGAGGAGCGCGTTTACTTGACGCTCTTTTTCGCAATGCTATAAAAGCTAAGAAAAGAAACAAATATTCAGTGCCGAAGGATTCGATTTTGATCGGAGAGATCAACAACAGATGAGGACTAACCATAAAGGCGTTGTAAGATGAGGTCTCTAAGAATATCTTCATCGGACTTCTCTTGCGTAGATAAACTTTGATGCTCTTGTGACGATTAACTAATATGCCATTGCGTACCGTTTGCTAGGCAGAACAGAACATGCCAGAGCTATACGTTATCACACAGATTAACCAGTCACTAAATGTTATACCTAGTGACATCGACCAGGTATTGAGCAGTACTAGTATGGTTAATATTGCTCTGTGCGTGAAATATTAAGTTAAGGTTATTTAACGGAAAAGTTAAGGTAATTAAACGAAGTGTAAAGAGCGTCATAATATGTGCAGAGTGTGAGTTTTTTTTTTTCTTTATTTACGTGAGATACGTTCGCTATATCTAGCATCGTATATTGTATGGTGAATAGTAATCACTTCTCCATCTTAACATGTGGCGGAAAAGTGTTGTATACACAGGAAACGGAAGGCTATGCTAGCTAGAACATTCAACATGTTAGTAAAAAGGCGAAATATGTAATGGTGTGCGTTCAAGCTGGTTATTTTATTGTAATCGTGTGTATTAGGGAAGCCACGAGTGATATCTTAGTTATTTCTATGCCACAGAAACGATTTATTTATGAAAAAAGTACAGGTGCGGTAGTTATTCGATTTCTACTTCACTGTCCATTCCGCAACGCGACAAAATTAAATGAGAACAATTTGTCGCAATATAATAAATCTGATGCGTATGCCTACAAATCAACGAGTGTTTTCTTTGTTCAAACATCAATTTTTCGTTAGCGAAGAGTCAATAAACTGCTCAGAAGTCTCTGGCAATTAATTGCTACCTATTAAAAGCTTTTCCGTATCTCTTGCTCGAACATTCCTTAAAAAAACTTATTTTTCTATTCATCATTTTCAATTTATTGCTTACATAACACTTGATTCCCTGTATTATAATAATGTCTGAAAGATTCCTCCAATTTTTTTTCTTTACGGTAAAATTATGTTATTGTAATTATAATTGTGTAGTTAGATTATTGTGACAGTGATGCGTATATGTTGTAGAGCATTAAAGCTATTTATTGAATATTATTATCCTAATATTCGTAGGAAAAGTTGTGCATCTTACAGCCAGACTAACAGAAGAACAAAATAAGGTCTGTTTCATTGAGCCAATAGCAGGCTTAATGTTTAAGCATATAAAGCCTCTCCGCATTTCTCATTCAAGTTCACCGGTTCTGATCATGAGACACGACCATAAACAAAAAGTAACCTTTAAATAGGATATTCCTTGCATGTGTTAAATTTTTTACTTTTTAGGACTCTCTTTGTTTATGGTCACGTAGCCTTAGTTTGGCGGTTACACGAGATCTGCGTGGCGTATATGTATCAGATGCTATGGTATAGTGGCTTGATAGCTCAAATCTACAACCGACTCCCTTTTGCCGATTCAAACACCCAGTTTTTTCTGAAAATTTTTCTACGGAAAGCCGACATATTCTATAGGGTAAAAGTAAATGGGTCTGTGTCGCGGATACCTGGTTCTAGGAGAATACATGTTTTAATTCCATTAAAATTTGCTCAGAATCTAGTTTTTTTTTTAGTTATTATTTCTAAAAAAACGTCTGTCCAAGCAAGTTGTTGTGTATCTTTATGGAAACCATTCACTAACACATGAATTTTATCTGAAAGGCCGGATATTCTACTACTAGGATCCTATTTACTGTAGAAGGGAAGGCCAGTAATGACGTACGTGTTTAAGGGTCCGAGCGACCTGCTAAACTGTTTTTGACTAAACATATGTTTCCTAGGAGATTTCTTATTTGATTTTCAGTCCGTATTAAACTGCCTATCATATCAGTGATCGCTTTTTAAAGCACTGAGAGAAATCAATTCCTTATTTAAATTTTAAAGTTATATTTCGAAGCTAGGATTTTGTAAAACCAGTCTTCTTACATCGGTACGGTTGGGGTTGTCAGCTCTTTCTAGAAATAAGAATCCAAATCCGAGTATTTTATTGGTTGACCTAGTATTACGCGAGGACGTCAACGGTCACAATAGCCGACGGCATCGTTACGCACCGTGTAATCTCAGAATGTTAGAAAGCGTATGTTTAAAGTGGTGACAGCTGCCGTATTGTTTACACCAGAGTAATAGCAACTAACGGTGAACAAGAGGGACGAGCATAGCAAACAATTGACGGAGTGTCTCGAGATTATATATTTTTTTAGAACTTTTCGTCCGAAAGCGTTAAAGATGTACCAGATTTGACTGAAGGACAAAAGGTACATTGTCAAATTCATCATACGAGCATCTAGTGCCACAAATGTAAATAAACATACTCGATCAAAGGGCATATTTATTATGAAGATATTTTAACTCCAATACAACAGCTGCAGCAATACGATCACTAAGTCGACTCGATCCAATTACGCTAACTCTATAAAGAACGCTCTAAATTGATATAAAGCTTTTCTCACGATTGTCAAGAAAAAATCTGTCTTTTAAAGCGGCCGAAAAGCCTAAAGTTTAACAGACTGACACAATCAAAGCAGGTAAACGAATGTTTCAGCCCACTTTAATAGATGGGCATTCCTCTAATAGGTCGATTATAGAGAAAACCGAGCTGTTACAAGGGCGGCAAAGAGTACGAGCAATCGACAGCACCTTCAGCTTCCAAAAAAGTTTGTTGACTTTCAGGCACAAGATCGATCATTCTAATAGTCGCGATAGCTGAAACAGAATGTCCCGCAGGACATTAAAAATCGCATAGCAGCGACACTGTCCGGTGAAAAAGGCCGTTACAGGAGTCTGTTTAGACTCAGGTTCGCAGTGATCACCACTAGTAGGCTGTCCGGAAATCAAAGGCGCTGGTTTTGGAAAGCGGTACCAGGCCCTATTGCAAAGTTAGCTCGATAGCGAGCAAAGCAAACTCGGGCAGGGGAGATCTTTGACAACTGCCAATGTCGATCAAACGACCATTATTGTTGCCCCTTGGGAACTTGAATAGACCTCAGTCATCGTAACTTCAACGAAACCGTTCTGCACGGTACTAGATAGAGCTCATCTATCTTCTTTTGTCAAAATAAGTTAATATATTGTCGATGTAAACAACAACGGAATAACGTAGGCTTTCCAATCAGTTTCAGTTACCTTTACCTCCCAAGACCCATAACCATCCTTTTTCCTATGTGCTCTCACATGTTTGCAACTTAAATATAAATCAATTAGTGGACAGATAGCCTTTTGTGAGACTACACAAATGATTATCATATTTCAATGGTTGCTGAATAAGCTAAATTATTTCTGGATTGCTAGGTTCAAGTCATCCAAAGCGTACATATGTGTAACATGTGCAGATGAATCAAGGTGTTACTGGGATATATGTGCATGCGTATTTTAGTAAGTTGTAATTGCATGCACTTATTATTATGCAGACGTATATAAAATATCTTTATTTCAAAGTTTTTTTTTTAAATCGCTTTTATTATTATCATGAAATATAAACTGATATTTCTTGGAACATCTTGGTAGCATAACCTTAGCCTCTGTACATTAAGTTTATTTGTATTTATTTATGTCATTATGAAGCATTTTAATTAGAGAGTTGTTTCTAGAACTCTCTAAAAAGTAGAAATCTCAATGAAGTTTTCTGCAGGCGCTTAAGGTGTGCTTAACTAATCCGCAAATGATTTTTGCGTAGTAACAATGAAGGGGCAAGCGATACTGGTCGATGTAAACTCGGCAACGCGTCGTTGAACTATATTATTACACCGCACGTAGAATATACGCGCAACAGAATCAAATTTTCGGAAAATGGCATATTTCGTTCGAATTCCGAAAACGATGTATCGATTTTCGTCACGACAATTTATTGTTTTATTCTAGAAAAAAAAAAAAGAATTTTCTTCTATTAATAAGAATAACGGCCGAGTATATAAACGCACTGGGTACCCTAGCGAGGAAGACTGAGTGGACCTGTCAATGCTTTTCCATCATATACATCATCACCTATATACACATGCCTATCATATACATCATTACTAATATAAAAATAATTAATATACAAACTAGCTCACATCGTCTATATATGTATATTGAAAAACAAGAAGCCAACATATCAGGGTTATATTTTCCTGATACGGCGCAGGTTACCAAGTAGCCGACACTGCTAACTAAAATCTCAATTGGCTTAGAGGGCAACGAGAGTTTTCCTAAATCATAATTATCTATAGAACGGAATGAAAAATTTTTTGTTTCCTATTATGATGTTATCAGCAACTGATTATTATTTAGGCCAAGGCGGTGCTTTCCGGAAAACAAAAAATTTTTACGTGTCGTTTGGGCAACTCACTACTATCGCTCTTTACCTAAAAGTGACTTGATTAAACATTAAAGAACTGTCCTCGGAAGGGCGTTGTGTGAATCGCACCAAATCGTTATCAATTGCCTATTAACGAAATGAAACTCGTCTATTTTAAAGGAAAAAGCCGATTAGATGCGTCGCACCCGTTTATATTTGCTTTTTGTGTCTACAAATTTTGCTTGGGGCTGCGGATCGTGAAAAGTAACATCATTAACATACTCCCCAATCCGCATGTATACTTCAACCGGTTACTGAAAAGCAAATTAAAGCCAGCTTAATATATAGGCCAATAAGCATATCAGTCGATGATTTGATTTCATAAATATATTATTTAGAAAAATTATGTAAATACTAACAAAGTATTATATGGGCCATTCCGTTTCCCCAATAAAAAAACTTTGTTCTTTAATTTTAATAATATACAAATTTTTAATTTTTTGAGATACATGCGCGTTAGAAATTCAGAAACTGGATTTTTTCGTTAAGCAAATTTCAAAATGTAGAGTTATATAGTGTTCTACAAGCCAACCTAAGCCAAAAGTTCAGTAACTTCTGAAATAGGAGCCGTTAGCAGACGAAATTTTTTTTAGAAACTTTTTAACTTTAAAGAAACTTTAACTAGAAAACTAGAAAACTGTGAACCAGCTAAGTTTACTTTAAAAGAAATGAGCTCGCAAAAAAACATGTTATTACTTTGAAATTCAAATTTATGTGCCCCAAAGTCCACCGCGCTGCTGAAATTCGCCCATAATTGGTGGAGAAATCAGGCGAAAATGCTTTAAGGCTATTTCAGATGTAACTTATTATCAAATTATAACACAAATACGGAAACTATGAGAACCGAGTTCCCCATAAATTGACATAGGTCAGTTGGAACCGCGTGTAGTGCATTTCATACGCAACCTGTGGGACTCCAGTCAACAAGGAATCCCCCCGGAGCATATAGTCGCTATAAACAATGTATGGTCCAATTTTTATCGCCAGCCAGAGAGAAATCAGACGTTACCTTAAAGAGAATCAACTTCGGTCGTAGTGTCGAGTAGGTTCGGACGGTAGGTGATGGACATTAGAACTATGTGCTACTGCATGAGAGACTCGCCGAGAATAAAATAATGAGGGTATCCCGTTATCTCAAGTCCCTCAAGAGGGTCATCGACCTTTTAACGGAGATCGAAAGCACGCAGCCTGGTTACTTAATCTCTCTGCATTGAACAAGGAAATATCGAACGTTGACTTCAATCTACCTACCTTCTCGATTTAAGTTCATGTGATCATGGGGCTTTCTATGCCCCAAAGAGACTAACTGGTCGACGTGTACACCACATTGCGGATGATCATAATC